GCCAGTCTGCACGGGGAGCTGGTTTTTAAACTGGCTCCCCTGGCAGACTGGCTCTCACGTGCTGCTGCCTCTGATACAGAGGCAGCACCGTGGAGGGGCAGGGGGCTCCCCAGGGGCAGGCTGACAGCCATTGCGCTCCCAGGGACTATCGAATAGTTGTGTAACCGCTAAGATTTCATGGGCAACATATGAGGCAGGTGACCACAGCCCACAGGTAAGTGAAAAACATGGAGACCTGGGAGATGCGTCAGAAATGAGAGGGAGCGTGGGCTATAACAGCCTAGATAAGGAGGGCACAAGGCAGAACTGGGGGGGCAAAATCAAATCAGTATCTTAAGATGCCTATATGCAAATGCAAGGAGTGTGAGAAATAAGTAGGAAGAATTTGAAGTGCTAATAAACACAACTATGACATAGTCGGTATCACAGACTTGGCGGGATGATACATGAGTGGAATATTGGCATGGAAGGGTACAGCTTGCTCAGGAAGCATAGCCAGGGCAAAAAGGGAGGCCGGAGGCGGGGGCTGGAGTACACCACCTCTCCCAACAGCTGTGTTGAGAGCATGTCTTGCCCTGCTTCTCAGCCAACCAGCGCCAGGCAGGGGCGGGATCTCTTACCGGCCATGGAAGAGCACTTCCCTGCGTGGCAGGAGGGCTGTGCCAGGAAGTGCTCTTCTGTGGCCAGAGGAGACCCCACCCATACCCAGCACTGGTTGGCTGAGAGGCAGGGCAGGACATGCCTCTCCCAACGGCTGTGGCAGAAGGGGAGGCACAGGGAGGTGTACTCCAGCTCTGGCCCCCAGAGCCCCCGTGATGTGGGCAACAGCACAGGGCTAGGTGAGGGGGCTGGGGCAGGCACAGGGGGTCCCAGGGACAGGGCTAGTGCTGAGGGGCTCTGGAGGCTAAGCTAGTAGTGGGGGGAGCGGTGCACTGTGGGGCAGGGCTGGCACTGGGGATGGGGCTAATATTGAAGACTGGGGACTGGTACTGTGGGAGGACTTTGCGGAGTTGGGTGTTGTGGGGCTCTGGAAACTGGAAGCTGACATTGGGAAGATCTGGTGGTGGGAGGCTCTAAGGGGTGGGAGGCTGGCATGCTAGCATTTGGGATAGGAGGCTGTCACTAGGGGGCTCTGAAGCTGGGAGGCTGGCACTGGAAGGCTACGTCTACACTGGCACCCTTTTCCGGAAATGCTTAAAACGGAACGTGGCACTGTGGGGGGCTGGGTGCAAGGAACTCTGGGATCAGTGGCTGGTGCTTGGGGGGTGTAGTGAAGGCTCTAGGGGTTAGGGCTGGTACTGGGGGCTAGGCTTTTGGCAGACCAGAAATGTTTTGTTTGCATATTCATCATTCACATGCAAATATGCAAATAAAATATTACCAGTCCACCAAAAGTTTGGCAATGGATTTGCTGGTCCCCACTATCAAAAAGGTTGGGAACCGCTGGTCTAGACAGTATTTGGTCCTGCCCTGAGGGCAGGGGACTGGACTCGATGACCTCTCGAGGTCCCTTCCAGTCCTAGTGTTCTAGGATTCTCTGACTATTCCATTACACGCCCCTACTGCTCGTTTATGCGAACTTTCAAGGCTCATGGTCTAGGGCCCCGCTCTGTCCCAGGAGTACAATGGCACTCTAGATTTTACATCCCCACTGTGAGCGATCACAGGCAGTGCCAAGCCACACTCACGACACAGGTGTTAACATGGGAGACTCACTGCCGGTCAGCTTATCAGCGACCGACCAAACCTGCACGGACACATCACACCCAAGTCAGAGCTTTCCATGCTCAATGCACCCTCTTGCCCTCCCTCCAGGAACCCCACACTAACTCGCCCCTCCCCCACCCAATTTGCAAAGGGTCTGCTCGATGCACATTGAAGAGGACTTGGATTGGCAGACAGGAGAAGACAACTATCCCGCCCTTCCCCCCTCTCTGCCAGCCAGCAGTACGTGTGGAGCAGATCCAGCGGGATGACCATCAGAGCCAGGCAGGGAAAGCACGTTACCGTCAGGGTCTAGCTGCACGTACAGCCCTGCTGCTCCAGTCCGACCTGTTCTATTGGCTCCATTTTGATGGGGCAAGTGGCACCAAGTGCCAGAAAAGCAGCACGCAGCAGAGACATGAAATAGCAAGTCACCCTCATAGCACAGGTCCCGGGCCTCTCCCACAAGTTGTGGTTAAGTGGAAAGCTTGCGGCAGCACACCCGGTGCCCATGAGATTTCATGCTGACATGCACAGAAGACAAGGACAAAGAATTTTCGATAATTTAAATTTTAATCGGCCAAATATACAAGTTTTGGGTTTTTTGTTTTTTTTTAATGTATTGAGTTTTTCTTTTGGGTGTTGTACAATCAATGAAGGCCTGGCTTTAAACAAAGGGTGATGCAGTTAAAAACTGACACTGTCCCCAGTCCAAGGAGAGGGGGAAAAAAAAAGGAGGGAAAAGGGTGGGGGAGGGGAATATGGGAATGAACAGCACTCCAAAAAACCAGCCATGAAGTTAGGCTCCCAGACTGTTCTTACAACACTCTGCAGCTCAATTTCATGAGTTGTTTGCAGAACAGGGGCCTTATGATACAACCCCCCTGACCTGTGGATTTTCATCAAGATCACCAACCCCATGCTCCACCCCCAAGCTGACACAGTCTAGGTTTTGCAGTCTAATAATTGAAGCATTTCCCCTCCCACCTTGCTCCCCCCCCACCCTGCCCTGGCTATGTGTTCTTAGTCCTAAAAACAGCAAAAACATTCAGATTTCCAAACTGTTACACAGAGAACTGCTATACAGCACGGTCCTGCCCTGAAAATAGCAGCTGCCCCCCCAACCCAAAATGGAATTCTGTGCCAAGATGAAGACAAACACGCTGTCAGTGTCTCTTGGAGGTGAAGGTGACTTCAGTGTTGCAGTGCACCCAACACGGTACGCAACATGGCAGAGTTCGTGGCAGGCACCAGGCACAGTTCCCTGGAATTCCTCCTCCTGGCTGTCCTGTGCTTATTTGTTAAGGGATAGTGATTGCAGTCTTTTGCCTGCCACAGATGCTTCATCTTTTGCTACGGAAAGGGGGGAGAGGTGAGAAAACAGAGACTTGTCAATGTTCCCAGGTGCTCTTGGGGAATTGCTGCCGGACAGGTGGCCTTGGAGACCAAGCTGCATTTAGCCAGATCTCACAGATAGCAGCAGGGCAAGTGCCCTTTGGCCACCACCCTGCTTAGATGCTACAATTCCTGGTGGGCCCGCATCCAGGGTGACGGGAATTCCATCTCTACAGACCATTCTGGCCCTGGCCCCAGTCACTAGTGCCAGCTGTGGCGAGATCTGTGCAGTGCGAAATGGACTGAGACCAAATTCCCATTGCAGCTTTGGGTCACTAGACACTTCAGCTGAATTAAGAGTCAGGCTGTGACCTAGAAGTACAAAGCTCTATAGCCGTTATCAATCCCCTGACCCACCCTCCCTGTATTTCTGACAATAACCAAGCTGTCTGCAGGGAATTCACTCAACTGCTGGTGTGAACATGTACAAAAATCCACTACCTTTGCCTCTTTGGTTGAAACATTATGGGAATAGAGAGCGATTCCCTCCTTACTTTGCCTGCTCACTGTCTAATTAATCCACTGCTTATGAAGGAGCATCAACTCCTAAGCAGAGGATGAAACACTGCTGACTCCAGGGTTGAACAGAATAGCCATTTCACAGCGTAGGCAGGAAGGGAATACTATGCCTACTTCGCAAGTGGTACTGAGATCACAGCTCCTGTGGTAAGTCTGTCGGTAAGAACAGGTAGGAGGGACTGAATGAAGAACCATCACTATAACTGCAACAGCCTTACCTTTTCTTTCCTCCTCTTTCTTTTTGGCAGCTTCTTCCCTCTGTTTCCGGATGATGGCTAGTCGAGCAAGATCTGCCTTTGCCTGTTCCGTTTTACCAGCTAGGTGCATCTTCATGTATCTTTCTTTTGCTTTCTGCTTCTCTATTTCTTCTCTGTTTGAGAGAAATACACTAGTCATCACAGTGACCAAATTATCATTAGGAATTAGAAAGAGGATTAAAAGAAGGCATAATCTCAAGCAACATCTACCTTTGATCTGGGAGCACAAATGTGCCCAGTCATCACAGTCTCCAATTAGCATGTTAGTGAGCTAACAATTCAAGGAGGCTGAAGATCGAAATAATATTTAAATCCTTTTCAAAGCAGTCAGGGGGTTTGGGAAAAGCCATGCTGAAGATTAGCTTTTCAAGCCAGAAGCTTTCAAGATAACGAATACCTAAATCAGGGGTGGCCAAGAATTTATGACTGGGGGCCACTTCAGAAATTTCTGAAGTGATCCTGGGCTGCCCCAGAAGGGGCAGAGACTCAGGTGGAAGGGGGCGGGGGCTTCCATGCTTCCCCGTCCACAGACCCTGATTGGTCTGGGAGTGGGGGAGCATGTGAAGTCTTTGTCCCCCCCCAACCCTGAGAGAACTGTCAGCTGTTCTGAACAGTTGGCACTTCCCTCTAGGTGCCCACACTCCAGGCAGTGGGAGGAGACTTTGCATGCGCCTCCCGTAACCCTAATTCAATCAGGGCCTGGGGGACTGCGAAGTCTCTTGCTCCCTGCCCTCCAGCACGGGTGCTTAGAGTCAACCAAATTAAACTTAACTCAAACTTGCACTTTTCTCTCTAATAATTCACGTGTGACATGGCCATTGAATTCCAGACTGAAAACAAAATTGAAGCGTCCACTGGGGCAAGTAACTGCACTCTGCCCCCAGGAATTAGGAAAACTAACTCCTGGTCAATATCAGGGCTCCTGCCATACCAGGCACTAACAGTGTGACCCTTAGTATGGCATTTTTCTGGCACTACGCGCTAATGGACAAGGATAGTTATTTCTGATCATTGACATCAGGCTTCTAGAAAGGAAAATTAGATAGCCATGGTCCATGACTTGGGCTCCTAGGGGCTTAACACAAATAATTAATGATAATTTTAATAATGATTAGAGGTACAAACATTTATGTCCATCTCAATGTGTTCTGCCAACCTGCCTGAGTTTAGGATTACAAGAGGTAATATCTTTTTGGGACCAATTTCTGCTGTTGAAAGAGGCAACCTTTCAGGCTTACAGAAAACTCTTCTTTGGGCCTGGGAAAGATGCTCAGAGTCATAGCTAACTACAGCTTGTTTAGAACAGGGTTTCCCCACCTATGGGTCAGGAACCAAATATGGGTCGCCATTACATTTCAAAGGGGTCGCCAGGTGTCTCCCCAGCTGGCTCTTAGGAGCCAGTCACACATTTTTTGAATTGCCCTGGGTCACCAAGTCTTCCTGAATGGTCAAAATGGGTCCCCATCTGGAAAAGGTTGGGAACCGCTGGTTTAGAAGAAGTAGGTAGCATATGAAGGGTGGCAGCCAGCAACATAGGCTACTTAACCACGGAAGTTGCTACCCAATGAAATTAGGAAACAAAGTGAATCCTGATCATTATCTTTATCCCTACTGGGATGGTAGACTAAAGGACCTCACTGGAACATGAGCTTCCCTCCCAGCAGGTCGGGTTTATTGGCACCAGATGGGTTGGCCTTTGCAGGGGGAAGAGCATTATTCTAGGCACACACACAACACACATGCATATCTCTTAGCTATCTGAGAGAAGGAGGATGGTTACCGCTCTCTCCGCGACAGCTCCTTGGGTCCATCCAGATCCAGCTGAGTTACTTTTTTGGCTGCTTGAACAACTCGATTGGGATTTTCTATGTCTATCAACCCTTCTACGCCTTTGCGCTTTTGCTGGAGTTTAGAAAAAAAAAAAAAGGAGATGCATGTTATCAATGAGTTCTGTAGCTTTCAAGGCTCAGTGTGTTATTTTCATTGGCTTCCTGGTGGAGAAAGCTCACTCATGTGGTCATTGCCTCTGAAACCAAACCTAGACAGATACTAAAAAATATACCTGCTCCCACATCATATTTCACTTTACCATGTTCTCATCCCACTGTTAATTGTGAATGTTACCGTCTCAGTTTCTTCCAACTCAATGTACGGCAATGAACAAATCATTAATGGAGTGAAAATTAACTAGGAGGAGCGACACACTAAGTCTAACTTAAAAAAAACAAAAAAAACAAATTGGGAGTTACAGTACCTGATAGTCATCATCGTCTTCCTCACTTTCATCTGAATCTAAGGACTTCTTCTCTTTTTTGGGGTCTCCTATTGCCCCTTCTCCCCCTTCTTCTTGCTCTTCCTCTTCCTGTAAGTTTACAGGAGATTAAGAAAAAATGTAAACTGATGAAATGGCAACATCTAGCAGTGACTCTTTTTTTTTTTTTTTTAAAGTAAGCAGCCTGAAAATAATAGGTAAGGGATACAGCATGGCCAAGAATGTCAGTGTTACTAGCAGGTTTCCCATAATGAATCACATTTTTATTGCATCCAAGAGCAAAATATATTTAGGGCACAAAATGATTCCCATTATTCACATCACCTCCATTAACAGGGTTCTCGATAAGTGATTTGGCTGCTTTCTGTACACAATATGATATCCACTGTGAGGTAACTTGAGCACCACAGTCTATATTTCATGTTTTATTCCCACAGAGGAAAAGAATATGGGACACATTTTGACCTTGGTTTCAAGTGCTCAATACCCCATTGATTCTGATGAAAATTGCCCAAACATTATCACAAGCTAGATCCAGCCCTAAAACTCTCGGTCACCAACAGAAAAACTGGAGAACAGCAGATTGTCAAACCCAAATAGAAGCTTTTCCACATAATGTAATGCAGGTGACAGAATGATCTACAACACTTGACTCTAAGCTGCCTTTGCTCATAAACTGCAGAATAATTGAGCGATAAGAGCAGCAGTTTATCTTGCTAAGCACAAGACCAGAGAAAACACATACCCTGGCCTTTTGTTTTTCTGCTTGGAGCTGTGCATCAATCTCTTCAGGGCTTGTGTACTGTCTTGCACGGCCTTTGTGGCCTCCTTTTCTACCTGCGTGAGAAATTAAATCAGTAGCTGATTTAGTGAGAAGTTTCCACAAGGTCAACAGTCTGTCCCCAATCTCCTTTGGCTGTGTCTGTCTTCTCTCAGTAAAAGCTAAAAGAACACAGAGGGGGCGCAATAATTCACTGGCCTTAGTCAAATGCTTTGAGCCCTCTTAGATAAACGCACAGAGAACTGTTATGGCACCACAAGAGTATTCAGGGAAAAACACCCAGAAGTTAACTTACTCCCTAGGGAAGCCTGCACCAACTGGACCATCTAATTCACTGGTCTGTATCTGAGATGGCCCAATTTATATTTGGTATCACGAGATTTAAAAAAAAAAAAATACAGCCCACCATCTCCATAAGATTCTCTACATCCCATGCATCTGACGAAGTGGGTCTTTGCCCACAAAAGCTTATGCTCCTACACTTCAGTTAGTCTATAAGGTGCCACAGGACTACTCGCCGCTTTTGCAGATTCAGACTAACATGGCTACCCCTCTGATACTCTGCATCAAGGTAGAAAATAAAAAGTCTGATCAATTTCAACTTTTTGTGCAGTTCACCAGATATGTTCTCACCCCTATCAAGGTAGGTACTACTGTCCTCATACATTAGCTTCTACAGATACCAGACACTGCAGCATGGTTCTGTCAGGCTATAGAAGAATGAGAATTATGTTTCCAAGAGCTGACAGTAATGACACCTTCCTTTCTCTTTCATCCAGTTGCCTCTGATTCACTTCCTGGGTTGGCAACCAAATATAAATCCCATAGCTGCTCCTTAATGTGCATTTCCTACATAGCAAGGAGCTGCATTCTAACTATGTTGCCACAGAAACACTAGAGTGACAGCAATTGTAAATGAGTTTCAACCATAACCTTGATTTTCCCTGATTACCCCCCACCTCTACACAGACACAGAGAAAAACGAGAGATGAAATTAGTTTCCTTGCTGAGATCTGGTACCTACCACTAAACCTTAACTGATTTTTGTGAAATGACTGAAACTATGAATGTTTCCTGAAGAATGGCAGCTCCAGTGGTCTTGGCACAGGGCACCAAAGGACCACTAGAGACCTGAACTTTATTTTTTAAGCCATCTTGACCTTTCTCTCTGAGGACACCAAACTCCAAGTACAGTCTGACCGTGAATAGTTACACTGCAATTTTTTTTTTGCCAAACAGCTCATAAGGGGGCTCTCTCCTGCAGATCTTAGGAGGGCCACTGGCAAGAGCCATGGGACATCCCTCTGATCTCTTTATCCCTCCCTGTTAATTCCTTAAGTTCAGTAGGCAGGCTTAAAGGGAGAAGGGTGGGGGATGACAGATCCACCTTTCTTGAGATCTGATAGAGAGCGCCCCCAGCTATCTTGCAGAGGTTCACTAGTGCCCAGCTAACCTAATTTGTTGAGCTCATTGAATAACGGGAACATTTTTCCATTAAAAACCACCCCTTTTTTGGCCATAAGTTTGCCAGCCAGCAGTAGTACATTTCAGTAGCTTCAACATACTTCCTCCCTCCATCCCCTTTCCTCCCACTGTTCACTACTGCAGATTTTCTGATGTTTCTAAGAAGGGAGCCTTACACATGCAGCTCTTAGAAAATCGGCAGGGGGTAAGACCTGAAAAAAAGCAGGTGGCTTGAAGGGAAAATTCCCAGTCAAACTTAGAGACCTCCTTGAGCCACCTTGCCTCAAATCTTAGGAAGCCTTGTTGCCACCTTAACCTCTGAATTTCTAACATGAGAGGTGAGATTCTGTACACTTGTGGTCTTCAAAGGTGATATTCACTCAAAGAACTTGTATTGCCTGTCACCTTCACTTCACCTTGAAAAAGTGTGTGATAGATTTTCAGTTGTGATCTCAACTACAGCTTTTGTTGTCCCTGACAGATGGTACTGTACATAAAAATCCTTTTATCTTCCCCTTTAAATCATCCTTTCTTCTGAAAGATTATTAGAACTGCCTGAGTTACAATTTGAAATTAATTACTTATACGGGTACAAAATAACTAATATGACATAAACTTTATGCATAATTCTACACTATGAAGAGCCACATGATTTAAAACAATGAGTTGCTACAAAACTACCAGGCTTTTTGTGGTCTGGCAGATGCATTTTCAGACATTAGGTTTTTTGTGTGTGTAAGGTCAGCTCATAAATACAAATTTCAATGTAGACTGAAAAAAATAAAACTAGCCTATAATTCTTTGGTATTCATATTACGGGTTGTCAAAACAATAGATATGAAGAGCAAAGCTGATTAGTTCTAAGCTTTACTCTTTCTATATTCAAGCCTATACCAAAGAATTAAGTAATGCTTTGCTCAATACTTTTACTATCATCTCATCAACTAGAATGAGATGAGACTTAAGTCACATTAGTCTGCAGATATTTCATCAAGGAGGGCATAGGGAAGGCCTTTGCTCATAGTAAGGAGGCAGGAGTGTATTAGGCCCTGGACTGTGAGTCATGCAACCTGAGTTCTATTCCTAGCTCTGCCACTGACCTGCTGCATTACGTTGGGCAAGTCACTTCACCTCTGTGCCTCAGTTTCCTCATCTGTAAAATAGGGATAATGATCCTTATCCTCCTTTGCAAAGCACTTTGAAATCCACAGATGATTGTATTTTTAAAATTATGATAAAGGCACACAGAGCATAAACTAGGCATGATTTTAAATACATATTTATTTCAGTTCATAAGAGTAAGTATTGCTATTAATGTGAATTTAATCTTAGAAGAATTGTATGGAGCCAGGAGTAAAAAACAAAACAAAAAAAAACCGCCCCCACACCTCCCTTGGGAAAATTCCTTGTTTCAAAAGTTTCTTCAGAAGTTTCTGTTCTGTATTAGCAGACAAGCAAGCTCATAATAGTGCATCAGAAAAGGTCACTCCTCCGACAGATTATGAACTACTGCTTCAATAGCTCTATTTCTTTAGTGAATATAGATTATAAAAAACTAGATACACACATTATGGAAAAGAGAAGAGTATTTGTTGAATGGATCCTTTTGGGGCAAGGTGTCCTTGTAACTTACACAATTTTTTTTTTAATTTAAATTATTGATAGGATTAAATCCAAGTCTGCTACCCAAGACTTCAGGCAAAATCCTGGCGGTCCAGAAGTCAATTGCAAAACACCCAGAGATATTAATGAGGTCAGGGTTTCACCCTGAGAGGAACGCGTTTAGAACTGTGTGATGAATTTGGAATGGGGAAAGTTCAATTTATTGAACTTTCATTCCAAAAATAATTATGTGCATCAACACAAATGAACCTGGATCCTTTTCTTTATAACACAATAGTTTTATGTAGTACAGGTTGTTATGAAGGATGCCTAGCCCTGATCAAGATATCAAAGAAACTGCTTAAAAAAATCAGAAAACAAATCTCATGGTATTAAAAATGAAGGGAAAATGGTGAATTCTTTAGGCATCAAATACAGGAACAGTTTGGCAAGAGTTCACAAACTCAGTTAATGGCCACTAATAAAGTAAATTGGCAGAGAAGGGAAGAATGGGGAATAATAATTTACATTAATTTAATAATATTTGATTCCATAAAAATTATGCGAGAGCCAATTGTGTGAAGAGATTTAGTACATCTAGAGCATGATCTGGGCATATCCAGCTCAGACTTGGTGGACTATCATTCCTTCATTAGCTTTCCTATATCACATGGCATGTTGGTACTAATTTCAGAATAGCAAGATGCCGTGAGTGAAGTTATTACGATGGTGGGTTTGGAGCCACTAAAAACTCTAAAATGATACACTAAAAGTCATCTTTGTGCCTGTCTGCCTACTGTCTCTTAAACAGCAAGTAACCACCTTCTCCTTTAGATTCTTTCTGCATATTCCCAGAAGCCAGTCAAATATTAATCCATTGAAAGACGATTCTTAAAGAACCACATGCCATTAGCATCCATTTGAAACAGGCCCCATCAGTGAGGGCATTGGGTGCATGTGAACTGCACTCGGTGCCAGATACGAGCTCAGTGCCTCATGCCTGAGTTCTGTACAGCACCACTCATACTCTCTGTGCTCAACAGATGACAACTTCCTTCCCAGGGCAGAGCAAAACCCACCACCATGCACTCGATCTGTGAAGGGCCACCAGTCCCACCTCTTCTCCCCTGAACACAGAGCCCCCGCCTTATGCCACCTCATGCGTCTCTCCTCCCCCACAGGGGCTTCACGCTCGTGCTTCCAAGTTTCCCGTCCACGGGGGCTTGCACCCCCCCCATCCATCACTCCATCCCCCATGGGGCTTGTAGCTCCCTCTTAACCCCATGGCTCCTGGGGGCTAATACCCCCCCACAGGAACCGCAAGCTCCGCCCCCAGCCCCTCTACTCTTGGGGCTACACCCCTCCCCCGGGACCGGGATCTTGCTCCCGTTAACCCCACCACTCCTGGGGGGTTATGCCCCTCCCCCCAGGGAGTTAGGGCTCCCCCCCCCCTTAATCCCACCGCTCCTGAGGCTACCCCCGACCGGCCCCTCCCTCACCTCCTTTGGGCATAGCGGCGGTGATGGCGGCTCCGGCAGCAGCTACAGCGAGTGAGCCCCCCCAGACTCCACTCCTCGACCCGGAAGCGGAAGCCGCCCAAACCGCAACCCCAGCGCGCGGCTCCCTCGGCCCAGTCACCAAAGCTAGGCCTGGAGCACGAGGCCCCGAGCCGCGGGGCAGACCGCGGCGCTGCCTGAACACAATCCGGGCCGCTAACGCCACACCGCACCCAATTACAGCCCCAGCGGGTAGGCCTGTCTCTGCTCCTTCCTTCCGCATCCCCCATTGGGAGGAAGCAGCGGGGGGTTCTTTACAGGCATTGCAAAGGACACCACGCTGCGCGCGACGAGACTGGAACGCGATACACTCCCGCTCCTCACCCAGGCAACGGTGGGTGGCTGAGTTTAGCGTCATTACAGCGACGAGGCAACAGAAGGACCCGAATGCTCGTGACGCCATAGGGGAAGCGACGGCTTTGAAAAGGCCGGAAGTAGTAAATAGCGATCGTCTGTTTTCCTCGCTCGGCAGGTGAGCGCCCTTCTTTCGGGGAGTGACAGGGTAGCTGGTTAATCGATTAGCTAGGAGAACGCGGGTGGGTTAATGCTATAACCTATTTCCATGCCCCCCCCCCCACTCGATTTATTTTTAGCAGGCTGGCCAGCAGCTCGGCTCACGCGACCCCTGCTGCGGCCCAGCATTGAAAGCGTATTAGGAGCTGGGCGGGCAGGCAGCTTGGCTCAAGTCTGGCTCACAGCGGGTCCAGGAGCTCAGCCCCTCCCCCCTGCATAGAGGATGCTGCCACCCTGTATAAGAGGCAGCAACGCGGGATGACAGGCAGCTGGTCTGTGGGCACCCCACAATGCTGCCTTTGATACAGAGACAGCACTTTGGAGTGGTAGGGGGCTCCTTGGAAATGGGGCCAAAATGCATTTGCATCCCCACTCCCGGGGACTATATAATAGTTGAGTAACTGATAAGAATTCATGAGGTTAATTGACTATTCAATTAACTGATATTTAACATTCCTAGTCTGGAGTAGGTCAATATCAGCAGCTTTCAGCTGATATTTAAACTTGCTTTACTTAATTTGCCTAGGTGACAAATCGCAGAGGGGGTAGCTGTGTTTGTCAGTATCTGCAAAAACAATGGGGATTACTGTGGCACATTAAAAACTAACGTTTATTTGGGCATAAACTTTCATGGGTAAAAACCCATGCATCTAATGAAGCTTTTGTGAGTAAAAATTACTTGGTCAGATGCATTGGAGTTGAATTTACAGAGGCAGAGATATATATGTGTATTAGTATATCCCTGCCTCTGTAATTTACACTCCATTGTATCTGATGAAGTGGTTTTTACTCACAAAAGCTTATGCTCAAATAATTGTGTTAGTCTTTAAGGTGCCACAGGATTTCTTGTTGCTTTTGGCTAGGTGAGTATCACTATATCTGTATATAAAGGTTAGGGACATAGTAATTGATTAGAAACAAATGTGAGGTGAGGCAATATTCTAATTTCAGCTTTGTCACTGACTTGCTGGGTGATATTTGGCTTTACAATGGCAGTTATGATACATGTGTTTCTCATAGTAGTTTGTGAAGCATAATAGACAGGTCCTTGAATTTGAGGCATTAGAGAAGGGCAAAAAGTACTATTAACTTGGAAATATGCCCTGGGTAGCCCTCACAAGTGAAATAATGTTATAAATTATAGGGGGAGTTAGGAAAGGTCCACTCCCTCCAGTAGACTGGTAACACATTAACATTCTTATTCACTGTGCGAAAATAAGTGTCATACTGTGACATCGGTTTTGTTCCTTATCTTTATTTTTCTCTAAATGAAAAAAATACTTCTCTGCTATCTTTATAATTGAAAAAGGGGAGAATAACTGCAAGGGAGTAAAAATAATGCTGAAAATCTCAAGAGTTTTCTTATTTTGGGTGTGTATGTATCATGATGACCGTATGATGCCAGAAAACGTAAGTGCTATTAAAACTTGACCTGCATTTGTCTATGCAACAGCTTTTTTTTGAGAAGATGCCCAAAGTAAAGAGAAGCAGAAAAGCTCCTCCAGATGGCTGGGAGCTGATTGAACCAACATTGGATGAGCTGGATCAAAAAATGAGAGAAGGCAAGTTATGAAGCCAGATACTGGTTCATATGTGACCCTGTTATAGTACAGTCCTAAAAGAGCTCCAGGATACATGTTTATAAAATGACAGCATGTCCTTTTTTTTTTTTTTTTTAAATCTCTGTTCATTATTTAGGGGCTAATAATGAAGACAAAACATTTTGATAGCAATAACTGAGCGTATTCATTTTCTGCATTAAAAGTTACCCATACAAGACAAATTCCCAATTTTGGCTTAGGTGACATGGGTTTAGGATATGGCTGAATGAGTTATGTGGATCACTTCTGGATCTATGGCTTGATTTGCAAATGAAATGAATGTTGTTCTGAGTCAATAGAATTCCACCCAAGCTCTAAAAACTATTGTAGGCCAGGATTGAAGCACACCTTTATAACTATATGCGGGGGAAAGCAGTGTTTGGTTCTAGTCTGTGCTGTCACTGTTGGTTTCATGGGTACTCAGAGGGGCTTATCCTATCCCATATAGTTCTAGTCTTGGGAGAATTCTGCAATTTTACTATGGCTCCAAATGACAAAATTTCCCCAGAACTGGTTTTCCCTACCATTATCTCTTTTGCTCTCTGACTTGCTACGACATAAATACTTCGGCTATGTGTACACTGGCATGATTTTCCGAAAATGCTTTTAACGAAAAAGTTTTCCATTAAAAGCATTTTCGGAAAAGCACGTCTAGATTGGCAGGATGCTTTTCCGCAAGAGCACTTTTTCGCGATCAGGGCTTTTTTGTGGAAAACAGTACTGTGCTGTTTACACTGGCCCTCTTGCGCAAATGATTTGTGTAAGAGGGCTTTTGCCCGAACGGGAGCAGCACAGTATTTCTGCAAGAACACTGACGATCTTACATGAGATCGTCAGTGTTCTTGCAGAAATTCAAACGGACAGTGTAGACAGCTGGCAAGTTTTTCCGCAAAATCAAATGATTTTGCGGAAAAACTTGCTAGTCTAGACACAGCGTGGCCAATGTATCAGAGGGGTAGCCGGGTTAGTCTGAATCTGCAAAAGCGACGAGGAGTCCTGTGGCACCTTATAGACTAACTCTTATAGACTTATAGACTGCTCCTACACTTCAGTTACCTCGTCGCTGTGGCCAATGTAGACGCACTTTTCCGGAAAAGACTACTGGGCTGTCTACACTGGCCCTTTTCCGGAACAGTGTTCCGGAATAAGGACTTATGCCCGAGCGGGAGCAGAATAGTTTTTCCGGAATAGCGGCTGATTTTGTACAGTAGAGCATCGTTGCTTTTCCGGAAATTCAAGGGCCAGTGTAGACAGCTCACAGCTTATTCTGGAAAAGTGGCTGATTTTCCAGAATAAGTGGCCCAGTGTAGACACAGCCATGGTGTTTTTAAAAGGTGTATAGTGTTGTAATAACTTGTAGGCTACAGTGAAATCTGATTTCTTTATCTATCCTCAGCGGAGACTGAGCCTCATGAAGGGAAGAGGAAAGTGGAATCCCTCTGGCCCATCTTCAGAATTCATCACCAGAAAACACGCTATATCTTTGATCTCTTCTATAAGAGAAAAGCCATTAGCAGAGGTAAAAAGCTTAAATATTTGCTCTTGTAGTGAAAACATCACAGCTCCAGCGTGGAGCTCCTGAGTCATTGCCAGTAGCTGTAAACTAGAACTAGACTATTGGTGGGAAAGGATTAAATAATTGTTCTAAAAAAAAAGTTAGTGACTCTGCTAGTTCCATTTGCTAGCAAATACAGACAATAAGAACTTGACTCATTATAAACTAAAACTTTTAAAATAAACTCACATCTGTTTTCAGTGAGAATTCTGTGGTGCTCATGAGTCCTCTCTCTTATGCAGAATTGTATGAGTACTGTATCAGAGAAGGATATGCAGACAAAAACCTGATTGCAAAGTGGAAGAAACAAGGTTATGAGAACCTTTGCTGCCTGCGCTGTATCCAGACCAGAGATACCAACTTTGGGACTAATTGCATTTGCAGGGTCCCAAAAAGCAAGCTGGAAGTGGTAATGTTTTTTTACTCTAATGTTATTTCCCTTGCTTGAATTATGAGCTAGCACTTGTGACTTACTGAAACTAAATTTCCTATACTGTCTTTGAAAATAGTATCAATTTCTAGTTTCCCTTCTCACTGGATTCTGCTGTTAAGTAGCTAGACTCTGTTTTTCCTGTTTCCTGAAATATTTGACCATGAAAATGACATTAAGGAGATAATATAGACTTACCCCAGTTACCTTCACACTGAATTAACCAAAATTCTGGCGCAGTGTTTACGGTGCTAGAACAACAATTGAGACCAGAGCCCTGACTGTATACATAATGCATTGGGCTTAATTATGTGTATTACTGTGGAATCTAGAAACCCTAATAATTGACTAGGATCTGATTGTTTTATTTGTGAAGCACCTAGTACAAAGAATGGTCCTTGTCTCCCTCAAGTCAGATTGAGTTGTTTTTTAAAAGAATTTGACTGTGAAGCAAAGTGCATCTTACACACCCAAAAGGAAATACAACTGTGTTCTAATGTGTTCCCCTTCTTGTTAATTGGTAATATTGTTATAGTGCAGAAGCTCCTGCTGCTTTCGATGAAAATTTGTAATAGTAGGAAGGAGAACTGATAGTCCTAGATGTTAGTTGGCCCAAAAAGACTGTCCCTTGAATTTTCTATTCATAAGTCCAGACATAAGTGTCGCACTGATGCACTTCTTGGTCAAACCTAGTTCTATAGGATTCCATAATCTTTCCTGGTGGAATATTCATTTCTGTTTGTTTTTATAGTAATGCCTGATTCTTAGAGCCTTGCACAGATACATGTGCAAATACACATTTTGTATCTGCACAAATGAGCTGTGGGTATTTGCTTTAACATCCAAAGAAATAAAGCAGATGTCCACAGATGTGCAGGGTTCTAGATACAAAATGTGTAGCCACATCCATATTTGCAAAAGTGAGCCACGGGTGATATAAGCAGATATAAGCACACACACATATAAGCAGCTATCCACAGATATACATGGCTCTACTGATTCTTGCTTTATTCCCTGGGGGAAGGTGGGACTTTCTATATAGTGCTGTGTAAAGAAGTGGTGGCGATTGTATGTAAAATAGCAGGAAACACGCTTCCCCTGTTTGAGTTGTAACATCTGGCACTAGTTTTTTATTCAGAATACTTGTCTCGAATGTGGTGACTAATGCATATTTTTGCTTTATAGGGGAGAATCATTGAGTGCACTCACTGTGGATGCAGAGGCTGCTCTGGGTGAAATCTTTAAAAACTGGACACTCCTTTTTGGGTTCTGAAAAAGGCTGATTCCACATCAAGGACTATTATTGCTATAATTGTCTTGTACAAACCCTGCAGTAAGTGAAGCTACCTTTAGCAGTCTGAACAGCAATATACCCACCTGGGTCAAAGTGAAGTAGTGAGTGATTTTGATTAGTCTTAACCATTTTATTTTAAAATAAAATCTTATCTGCCCCACAGTGGAGTGCCAGAGTTGTGTGACAAGGTAGTTCAAAGACTAATTACATATATGTTTTTGTACAATGGCATATGGCTCTTAGCAGCTGAGCTACACTGTCAGTAATAGAGACCATAGTTCTCTGTAAGGTGTGCGCCTGCGCAGCCATGCACAAAAAAAATCTCCACCTGCCCACCTCCTTTGTAGAGCCACACAGCATCACTCACTTTCCTGATGGGCCAGAGCCGAATGAGGCAGAAGGGGAGAAAGGGGGTGGCACTCCAATAGCTGTCTGGGTCCGCATGGTGGGCGGCTGAGGCCTGCTCTGGCAGGGAGGCTGGGGCCTGCTAGGGCTGCATGGTGGGGTGGCCATGGACTGCTCCAGCTGTGTGGAAGGGGACCCTGCTCAGCTACTGCAGCTTCTTCCCGATCCTTGCTCCCAGAGCCCCTGCCCGGTGCTGGGTCCTAGCATGACACCTGCCCCCTTTTTTACTTAATTTCCTTTGTTGCTCATATTTTAGGGGTGATATTAGTTCCCCAGGAAGGTGCGATTTCCTCTCTTAAGGAGCAGCAGACTCCAGCTGCTGTTTCAGATCTAAAGACCCTTTTCTTTAGCAATGCATGGACACACACACAGGTGGGAATAGAAAGACTGGCCTATAAACTACTCCTACAGATGAATTAGAGAACCACTGAGTAGTTGTTTGTCAGAGGTTTGAATTGCCAGAGTTGTTAGACTTTAGCACAAGCTTGACACTATCAACGCATCTGTTAAAATGTTAGAAGCTACACGATGTTGAACACAGAGTTCTTTTTAGTTCTTATTTCTCCTTTCAGTTGAGACCGTACTTTTATTAAATAGTCAAAACATGTAAGTACAGTGATGCCACTTATAAGGCAGCTGAAGGAAACCAGCGTTCCAAATTCCTGTTGATAGTTCCAACATCTGAAGTACTGCATATTCCACACATGGAAAATTCTGATTTGCTCTCAACAGTTATTGTTCCATGGTGCCTTGGGACTGAATGTCCTTTGCACTGCCCTTGGCTGCTGAATCCTTAGTTCGGTATTTTGCCCATGGGTGTGGAGTCTCCTCTGCTAACATTGCTTTTAGCCAGCGGAAATAATAGCCTCGGAACCCATCAATCTTCTCCAGATACGTGTTCTTTGACTTATACTGCAAATAAAAACCCAATAATATGTTATATTATGAAAGAGTAACTAGGGTGTTCTGATTCTGCAAATTGGTACAAGACAAAGCACTCCTAAGCCAATAAAGTATTTGGCAGCTGCACTGTACTCTTAAATGTCACCATTTCAGCTGATGCTAAAAAAGATGTAGATGAGGAAGACAAATTTAGTGGGGCTGGAAGGAGAGGTAACGATCTTACATGACTTTACCTTATTTTTAATTACAGCAGCACTGACAGACCCTCTCCTGCTAGACACTGTATACACAGATAGTCCAAAACAGTTTAGTCTCACCTGTGCTTTTCCATATGGTAACATTAACATCAACTGTAATCAGTTATACTGGCCCTGATAAATGATATCTGTACTTACCCTGTCAAACTGCGGTGGATACTGAGCTGCAAACTCCAGCTGGCGTATGACAACTTCATTTGGGGGGACCTCATTTTTTCTCATGTCTCTCAGGATTTCTGTGAGGTACGTATAGTCCAATTGCTTCACAGCTGCATTGATAAGAGTGCTGTAGATGTGGGTATTAGGAGTAATCCCAGACTTCTGAAAACATTACATCTGTGTTAGAATTGCTAGTGCCTGCTTGCAGAGATCAGCTCTGAAATAGCAAACCTTCCTGGTTGAGAGATATGAGCATATCCTAATTGAGGATCTTTGACCAATGTTATATTTCAGAGCTGATCTCTGCAAACCTTCCTGGTTGAGAGATAGGAGCATATCCTAATTGAGGATCTTTGACCAATGTTACTTACTATCTGACTTTGGTGCTGGCAAAGTCACCTCACCACTTAAGTGTAGAGTGCAAGACCTGAAGCATAAATACTTTTGCCTACCCACTTGCACTTTGGGAGACGTGTGTTACAACTCCACTGTAGATAAGGGGGCAGGGCCAATTAGAGAATGAATGCAGCTACATTTCCTGTTATGTTTTTCTTACCTGTACAGTATTAGTAAAGTTTACAATCTAGTCGTCCTTTCCACAATCCCTGCGTTAAACTAGGATGCTGTACCAGAGGATTTGACTAGAGGGAATTCAGTTACTTTAGCCTTGATGACAGCTTATGTTGAGAACGATATAGGAACCCCCCCAGTTACTCCTGTTCCGATAACATTCTAGTAGTTGGAACTGTAGTTGTTGTACCTTCATGTCCAAAAGTAACTGCAGTCCATCTTTCTCTCTGCGGCAGGCTATTGCCAAGTTACAAAATGTCTGTATGTTGGGTGATAGTCCCCTCTTCACTAGAGCTGTCAGCATGCTCTGTAATACACAAACACTTGATGATTCAGAGACCACTCGACATGTGCAGCACTGATGTTTTTCACAAGAAGTTCTATCTAGTTCTCTTTAGAGAGAAGGTAGCCTTCTCTTACTATCTGAGAATGAAATAGAAGCCTCAGGCCTCAAATAGGTACTTTAAAGGTCACTTATGGGGGTCAGGGAATATAGGATTCTCTGCCTTCTGCTGTGAGTGGAGAGTTGGTCTCATCAGAGGTTAAAAGGCAGCTAACAACACCTGTATGAAGATAAAGATTTCCAGTATAGTTATCATTTAGAGGCTTTTATTCTTACCTTTGCACCTTCTAAGTCTCCCAGTTTACTCTTCTTTCTCAACAAAGTATTAAAAAAGGTAACATCTGCTTTCACTTTATGTTCATCCAGGACTGTCAATAGAGAGGATTCTGACTGGCTTAAAGGTTCAACCAGCTCAGCCAACAGTGTGAAAGTCTTAATGTTGGGTGCCACATTATCCTCTTTCATTTTATTCAAAAAACCCTCCATATTCCCCATCAAAGCCAACCTATGAGAGGGCGTTGCTACCGTCCCCAAGGATACCAAATTCTTATTGGAAATTTTCAAGTCCAACAAATTGGGCAGGTTACAAGCAGGCTCAAAAAACTGATCTTGGTTTGTTTGTGGCAGATCTGAAACAGCCTGGTATCTACTGAAGTCTCCAGTCCCACTGCATTCTGTCTTACTAGTGGGACCACCCAATCCATTTCTTGGTTCAGCCTGAAGCTCATGCACATCTCTGTCTTCATGGTTGATTAAGAGTTCCTCTGCTTTTCTGGAATTTTCATGAAATATTTGTTTTTCCATGGATTCTACATCCAACTGGGTAGCAATTCCACTGTCTGCTCCTTTCTTTTTCTGACCTTTTACCTTTTTACCCTGGCTATCTGATATGAGCTTTATTTGAGTTTGGTTTTCCTTTGTGCTTCTTTGCAACAAGTCAGAAGCAACAACAGGGTCCCCTATTCCACAATCCCTTGCAGCGTGGAGCATCAGATTGTAAAGGTAATCATCAGGTTTTATTCCCAGTTTAGTCAATTGTTGCCAAACCTATTTCGAAAGGGAAAAAAGTAGAGAAGGAAACTTAGAGCCAATGTATGTGAAATGTGTACAACATTAAAGAAATGGGGTATTTTTTGCCAGAAGTAATCTCTCATATTTAGACCCACTTATTGTAATGTGTTAAGTTTCAACCATCATGGTTTTTAGCTGCAGGAATGGGAATGAATACACATAATCAACAAAAATATTTCTACACCAGAGACTGGACACTCATCTAAACTACTATTGGTACAATCCTGTAGTGCACATTGCGCTCTATGAACATCAAATAAGGAACCTGACTGAAAAGCATGCAGTTTAACCACCTTCCACCTCTTATCAGCTTGAAAGGTCTCTCTGCAGCTTCAAATCCCAAGCTACAGATAAAATAATTAAATGAAGGAACACCTTAATGGCAAAATGAAGTATAGAGATATACCTGCAAGGCATATCTGAGACCACTCTCCTTGTCCTTTATGCAGCCCATGAGAAGGAAGCTGAATGTCTCTTTTGTGACAGCATGTCCTTTATGCACAATTTCCTAGAGAAAGGAAAAGAAGCATGAATCTTATAGTTACCAAGACACCTTATTCTGCATCTGATTGCTTAATTGAAAGTACAGCCTCGTGTTGCTCAATGGAATCACTTCTTTGAGACATATTTGCAGCAAACTGCATGGAACATTTAAGGACTCCAACTACTTTAAGCAGAATGACAGCTGCAGAAAAGAGAAATACACGATCTGACAGCTAGTCCAATCCCAGCTTGTCCAAGCTGAAGGTACTTTGGGGAATAGTGTAGGGAGTTTGGGTGGGATATTGGAAGAAACATCTTCACTTCTCCACCATAAGCCCTTTACAGTGAATACACATTTGTCTAAAAAGGGACTGTAAACCTCACCTTTACGCAACACTTAATATTTGATTATTAATGACTTAAGAGCAGAATTTCAAAACCTCTAAGCCTCCAAAAGCCTGTTTTTGTCTGTTTAAACTAAATACTTAAGATACTGAACTGCCAACTATGATTACATCCTTAATCCAGAATTGTGCAAAGAGGTAACCACAGCACCCCTGCCCAGCTGGTGGAGGGCAGCTTCAGCCCAGCTGGGTCCATGGTGTAATGTGGCAGGCCAGTTAACTGGTTAAACATATAATTTAACCAGTTAACATTTTAAGTAGAGTTTCACATCCCAATGCAGGATGCAAACACAGAAGAATGTCCTTTAAAAAAATAAATCAGTCTATTCCCCCAAACTTAAATATAACAATGCCTAATCACAATCTGACTGCAAGGAAAGCCACATGCTAACTTGCTTTGATTAGATCGATATGAATAATGCAAGATTCACATTACCCTCAGTATGTCAAAGCATGTCCTGAGATCTGAGCAGATGGCACATGCTTTCAGCAGAGCATGATATGTTATTAGATTCAGCTCCTCATTTTTGCTCTTTAGTTCTTGCCGTAGTTTGAGTGCGCTCTGCAGGCCCGAATCTTTCCATGGTGACTCAGCACAGGCATTGAACAGGGCTGTGTATGTGGCGTCTGTGGGTATTAAACCCCGCTTTTTCATCTACTCTCGGGGGGGAGGGGGGAGAAAGTGAAAAATAATATTAAAGAACCCAGAATTAAGATAAAAAATAGTTCCACCTTGTACAGATACCATAGTAACAGGCACATTAAGAAAACCTAAAACAGACTAGTCACAACATATAAGACTGAAGGCTACAGTAAGTTCTTGAGCTCCTATTTGCTGAGTCCCAAGGAAAATGGAAACACCCATAAAAAGCGATTTTGGAGGCAGCATCTTCAGAATGAACTCACTCTATGGGATGGAACATGGATGGGCATATTTTAACTAAGGTTGTTAAAATGCAGTTAATTGACTAGTCGACAGGCACTTCTGCATTCCTCCTTTGAAATGTACAAGAGCCTCAACAAGGGCTTTTGTACATTTCAAAGGAGGAATGCAGAACTCCACATACAGCCTGGGGCCAGCGGGAAGTCCTGCTGACTCTGGGCTGTACGCAGTGTGCCTGCTTTGAAATGCTCAAGAGTCTCCAGCGGGGGCTCTTGTGCATTTCAAAGCCATGGAGCCCACAGTCAACGGGGGAGCGTAGGGTCAGCTGGGAAGCCCCCAGTTGACCCCGGGCTCCACGGCTGCCCCTTTGAATCACGCAGAGGTGTCATTTTAAAGGGGCAGCTTGCCAAACAGCTGCTCTGCAGATCAGCTGTGCAGCCGCACCCTTGGGGTTTCAAAGTGGCAACGTGGTGTGCAGCACTGCCACTTTGAAGTATCCTTCCCCCCACCCCCTTTTGCTGACTTGATCTCATAGAGGCAGCATGGGGGGGGGGGGTTATCGACTAGTTAACTGGTCAAAAGACTAGTCTTTAACATCCCTAATTCTAACTCATAAAAGATCCCCTTTGTACTTCTTGTCAAGTAACCCTGGCCCCTTTCTTAGAGAAAAATCTGTAATATTTACATGTTTATAAAGTCTGAATGCCTTCTTCACATAGCCAGCCCTGCCACAGCCACCAATCAGAACAGTATAGTTGCTCTCCATTGGCTGGGGAC